CACTTGACTGCTGACCAGAAGGCTGGCGGTTCAAACCCACCAGCCACTCCTCAGAAGGAAGGTTGGGCAATCTACTTCCATAGTGATACTGCCTCGGAAACCTAAGGAGGGGTCACTATGAGTCGGGGCCGACTCAGCGGCACATAACAACAATGCTAAAAAACAGGGTACAAAACAGTTGATTCTGCTTTTATGTTGATGTGATAAAGGTGCATTAGCCATTCCCATGGGCTTTGCTTTATTTTCTAAAAGGGCCCAAGATGGAGTATTTCCTCTTAGGTTTTTGAGTGGTAGTAATAACATGGCTGCAGCAATTTGGGGTGCCATCCCTCATGTCTTAGGTGCCTAGAAAGGCCACTAACCATTCTGTGTGGGTTTGTCTGAAAGTAGTTGAAAAGTTTTCTTGAAAAGAAATAAAAACATACTTAAAAAGAAATTTCTCTGTGATCCACTAGAGGGAAGAGTTAATCCCTTTAAAGAAAAAAAACCTTAAAAGGGAGGGATGGGGAGTCAAAAGAGAATGACTCAAAGGAGTCAATCTGACTTTTGAGTCGGATTGAATGGCATCAGAAAGGATTCAGAATGCAGCCCCCATGGGTAAAGCTGATCCCCAGGGGTTGGAGATGAAGCTGCCTGTGTCCATCTGTCCATAGGGCATGGTTTGTTGCTCACTACAGTGAGGGACCCTCACATCACGGCAGCACTACCGCGGGAGAGTTAGGGACCTGCTTCACTGTACGTCACGTCACCCATTTACCCACTGCCAGGGAATGGATTATGACTCAGCCAACCCTATAGCATCTAGTAGACTGCCCCATAAGGTTTCTAAGGCTGTAAATCTTTGTGGAAGCAGACACATCTTTCTCCCATGGAGCAACTGGTGGGTTGGAACTGCAGACCTTTAAGTTAGCAGCTGAGCACTTAACTGCTGCGCCACAAGGGCTGCAAGGTAGCTCAGGTACTGGACCCCAAATTGACCTCTGAAATCGGACCCATTACCCCCATCAAGAATGTTCCCCCAGCTCCTTTCCATGCAGTCATGGCTAACCCTCTCAAAGTGCTTAAAGCCGTCCCACACCCTCCTGTATCTCTGGCAGTGTCTTCATGCCACCCCCCTGCATTACGTCACCCGACTGGTGGCTTGTGCTGCATGTGCTGTTGCGAGCGGGTCTGAGTTCACGACTTTGCTCCTCTCAACTGGGGGTTCTGTAGGAATAACAACTGACAGTCTCCACTGCACTGAGCTTACTGAATCGTTGGTTCCCGCGTTCCCTCATTGTTTACCATGAACATGTACTGGATCCCGCGGCATCTCAGACACAGTGCGAGCACTGGCATACCTGGAAACAGTTACGGGCTCCTGCCCTCAGTGCGGCACAGTGAGCCTTGGGTACAGACTGATTGGCTGGCTAATCCATACACTGTTTTTTTTCTCTAGGCTTTGCTTCATCTCTGGGTCATGATTGTTCTGTTGACTTACACTCCAGAAATGCACCATGATCAACCACGTGGCAAATGAACTCGCCCCGCTTGTTGCAATGAGTGGGTGTCTTTTTCTAAGCTTGGGATCAGTGGAGGGCCAGATGCCTGAAGCTCCTGGGAAGGTGCACAGGGTCATTTTATCACTACCAGCGTCTTGCCTTCTAAGCTACGGGGAGTGAGTGCTCTGCGTCGGAGCCTCTCGCTGGTCTCCTGGGGATGGTAAGAGTTTCTAAAGCGGATTGTAATCTAGCAGGCTCAGCTTTGCTTTCTCCGGGATCAGTACCTGAGGTACCCACACACGTACTGCGGTGGTTCACCTGCGCGCAGGCCGTGCTGTACAAAGGTCACTGGCTGTGGGCTGAAATTAAGGAAACTAATTGTGTTTAGCGATACAAATAAAAAGTTTTCCTTTTGATAAATCAGTTGGCTTTTGTATTTCCATATTTTTAATGGTGCAAATACAAATTTACTTTTTACATGGTAAAGTCCTGATTGGTGCAAAATCTTCTTATAAATGATAAATAAAGTTTCCTTATATTTTTCTTTTTCATAACATTTATTTTCACCCCCATTATACAAGACTTTCACAGGCCGGCCTTAGTGAGTAGAGCCAGAAATCAGCTGAAAACCTGTTGCCGTGGAGTCTGTTCCAACTCACAAGACAAGGCAGAACTGCCCTATAGGGTTTCCTGGGGTTTCTTAGGCTGTAATCTTTGTGGAAGATTACAGCCTCAGAAGGAAGTCTGGGCAACCTACTTCCGTAGAGATACTGCCTTGGAAACCCAAGGAGGGGTCACTATAAGTTGGAATTGACTCGACAGCAGTGAGTTTGGTTTTTTTGTTTTTAATCTTTGTGGAAGCAGACTGTCACATCTTTCTCCCACAGAGCACCTGGTGGGTTTGAACCACCAACTTTTCAGTTAGCTGCCTAGTGCTTACCCACTGGGCCACCAGAGCTCCTTTCAGCCGCTGGTGTCCTTGGGAATGAGTTGCAGTGGTTGCCCACTGCCTCCCAATGCGTGCACTTCCTGTGCCCTCTGTCTCCACTGTGCACAGCCTGCCTCCTCCGTGTTTCCTTGCCTCCCACCTGTCCCTTAGGGCTCACGCTTACAGCTTTAGGAGTCAAGTCTGTTTTAGCCTCCTTTGTACTTTGAAACACTCCAATGCAGAGGAGTTACAGAGCTTGTCTTTGAAAAGGGATATCTGCTTTGCTTATTTGCATTTCCAGTATAATGTCTGGTTTGACTTTCATCTGCATGTCTCAATTCTTACTTTGTCACCTGGGTGCTAGTGTAATTAACATATGTGAGTCTTGGGCTGTACCGGGGTTTAGTCCTTCCTATCAGGAGTATGTCTTTAAAGCAGTTAGCTTGGTGCCTAACTAGAAACTTGACAGACGTGTCTGTTCTAATGATGGCTTTATTATGAATTTTAGTTGGCATAGTGGGTAAGGCATTTGGTTGTTCACCAGAATGTTGGCAGTTGAAACCCACCAGCTGCTCTGAGGGAGGAAGACAAGGCAGTCTCCTGCCATAAAGATTTACAGCCTAGGAAACCCAGTAGGGGTCACTATGAGTCAGAATTGACTTGAAGGCAGTGTTTTTTGTTTTAAGTTATAAGTGCTATAAATCCTTGAGAAGTTTTTTTGCACTATTGGACACACATTATCAGAAAATTAAGTTTTCAGGTCATCTCAGGTATACTTGGGCTTTTGATTCAGCTTGGCATGAATGAAAAGCCTGAACATTTCACATCAAAAAGTGGGTCTGAAGGGCCTCGTATGTAGTTGGCTCTCAATAAATGATGGGTGAATCTGAAAAGAAAAAAAAAAAAGTGGGTCTGAGAGATTGGAGGGCGGAGGTAGAGACACGTTCCGAGTCTTTCCAGGATGGGACCTCATTTGGATGTGAGAGCCCTTGGAGTCCAGGATGGGACCTCATTCAGGTCTGAGAGCCCCTAGAGTCTGGCTGGGAAGTCAGGTCTGCCGTCGAGCTGAATAAAGAGTTTAGTCCTCAGTCTTCCAAAGGTTTTTCCCTTGGCCTTTTCTAGTTTGGAAACATTTCTGGAGAATGAGTCACACCAGGTGACACACTTGAAATGGAAACCAGCACAGGTTCCTCACCGCGTGTTGCCAGACTTACCACCTGGTGTATGTTCTCCTGGCTCTGGTGGGATGTCTCTAAATCTTTTGTTCACTCTTTCCACATTCTTGGCTTTGGAAATAGTTTGATGAAGTGTTTTCAGGACGATTTTTCTGCACTTAAACCTTTCTTCAATTGGATTTCAGTTTCAGTGTACCTGACCACTAACAGACTGGGGCATTTTTTCAAGTGCTCCCATCTTAGCTTTTTAACACTTCCAGGAGGTCTTTTACAGCAAATTTGCCAAGTGCAGTATGTCACCTGATTTCTTGACTGCTGCTTCCATGGGCGTTGATTATGGATCCAAGTAAAATGAAAGCCTTGACAGTGTCAGTATTTTCTCAGTTCAAAGTGTTTGCTCTAAAGTGTTAAAAAGCAAAGATATCACTTTGAAGACTAAGGTGCACCTGACCCAAGCCTTAGTATTTTCCATCACCTCATTTGCATGTGAAAGCTGGACAATGAGTAAGGAAGACTAAAGAAGAAATGATGTGTATGAATTACGGTGCTGATGAAGAGCATTGAATATACCATGACTGCTAGAGGAATGAGCAAACCTGTATTTGAAGAAGTCCAGCCAGAATGCTCCTTACAAGCGAAGGTGGTAAGACATTGCCCCCCACACCGTGAGCATGTTACCAGGAGGGACCAGTCCCCGCAGAAGGACATCATGCCTGGTAAAGCAGAGGGCCAGCACTGCACAAGGGCTCAGACATAGCAATGACTGTTAGTGTGGCTCAGCGCTGGGTAGCGTTGTGTTCTGTTGTCCTAACAACACCACCATTCCTTTATCCTCATAATGGGAAAACGTCTTGACCGGGGGGCTGTGTGAGAGCCAACTATTTCCCCTCTAAATCCAATATATATCTAAAGACATATTCATTTATACACCCACTCTTCAGTTATCAACATGGTTGTGTTCCAAGGACTAAGTCATTATTTGAAAATCAGTGTTATGCAAAAATGGGAGGTGACCTTGTCAGATCACAAAATGGAAGATGATTACATTATTAACTTCCAAATTACATCATAACTACCACATCACTGAGAATCACTGTCCAGCCAATTTGACACATAACCTTAACCACAACCAGTGTTACTTTTGCCTGGCACCTCAGCGTTTGTCACTGACAGATGTACATTGTTAATGTGCAAAATAGTTGGCTAGTAGACTTTTCACTATTGTAAATAGTGCAATGTCAGATAACAAGTTAGTTGATAAGTGAGAAGCAGGTGTACCTGTATGTATAAATACCTACACATACACAAATTATTGGAGCTTTTGTACTGCTTTGTGTTTATAGCTATCAATTGGATTTTTTTTTTTTAATTGTGATTTGGGTGAAAGCTTACAGAGCAACTTCATTTTTTCATACAATAGTTCATACACTGTTTTGTTTCATCACATTAATTGCAATGCTCATAATATAACAGCTCTCTTCCCACTTCCTCCCTGTGGTTACCTTTCCACCGTGTCCTTCTTTCCTATGCATTCCTGCCCTCTGAGCTACCTCCCTGTGCAAATACTGCCCTTCTGATCTCCCATGATTGACTGTTCTACAGAGTGTATCTGCCTGGTGTAAATGTTCACCTTACGTGCTTGTCTGTTGTTTAACTAGAAGCCACAGGAGTGAGTTCAATTCTAGGCCTGAAGGACTAGGAGCCGTAGTCTCAGGGGTTTCACCAGTATCTATCAGACTAGTGGGCCTGGTCTTTTTTTTTTCCCCCCATGATTTTGAGTCTTGTTCTACATTTTTCTCCCACTTTATACAGGATCTCCTATTTTGATCCCTTTCCTAGTGGTTACCAGTAGTAGCCAGGCGCTGTCTAGGTCTTCTGGTATCATGGTCATATAGGCTGAGGTTTGCATGGTCCACTAGTCCTTTGTGCTAATTGTTTCCACGTGTCCTTGGTTTTTTTCATTCTTCTTTGCTCCAGATGGGGAGAGACCAATTGTTGTATCTTATTAGATGGCTGCTTGCAAGCTTTGAAGATCCCAGCCACTACTCCCCAAAGTAGGATGGAGAACAATGTTTTTGTGTAATATGTTATCCCAACTGAGCTAGATGTCCCTTGCAGCCATGGTCCCGAGCCTGGAATATTATGTTTAAACTTGTTTTTTTTTTAAGTCTTTGTGCTTACTGAAAGCTCATTGCTACAAAACAAAACCTTCAAAGGAAAAGTGTGGGTTTTGTTGTTAAAATGTGATGAAAATAGGTTTACCCTGGCATTTTGTTCTATAGATGAAGGAATAAAATATGGATGGGACTGAGGGGTCTAGCCTTAATTTAAGAAGGCTTCTATCCAGCTCCCTATTGCAGGAAGCCAGTGGAGTATTGGAAAAGACTAGCTTGGGCATCTTGCTCTGAGCAGGAAATAGAAGAAAAGAGTTGGCAAAGCTAAAGAAGATGGTCAAGCACTGATGGTCAGAGAGGCTTTAGGCTGTGTTCAACCAGAAGAAAGGTGATTGAGAAAGATGTCATGGCTGTCCACATACAGTTAGAGCTAAGATTTCTGTTAACTTTCTTCTGAGTAAGACTATGGATTAAATGATTCTGAACCTCCACACTTCCAAAAGGTGAGCTCACTCTGTTTGGACACATCATCAGGAAAGACACATCACTGGAAAAGGATGTCATGTTCGGTAGAGAGCCAGTGAAGAATGAAGGACACCCTCAGTGAGATAGATTGACTTCATAACCACAGTGAGGGATTCCACTGCCACCATAACCACAGTGACGGATTCCACGGCCGCCATAACCACAGTGACGGATTCCACCTTCATCATAACCACAGTGACGGATTCCTCCTCCACCATAACCACAGTGACGGATTCCACCACCACCGTAACCACAGTGACGGATTCCAC